GGTGTAAGTGAACAACGCTCACGAAGAAACGCTGATCATATTCGGAAGAGCACACTCGAATCGAGAATTGAGCCCAGTGAACAGGTCAAATCACACATCCATAAAGTAAGTATACGCGCTGTGATTGTATGCCATTTTTAATACCGCCTACCATAAAATTATTTACGTGGTGTACAGTTTGACTGCAGCGTTTCGCTTCATGCTACATCTGTTGCTCAATTATAAGACTACCCTAAAGGACCGATTCTCTCGGAGGGGGAACTACTGATATACGCATCGGAACACCAATTAAGGATATGAGATGTGAAAAACTTCTCTCTTTTGACAGACACAATCCGAGCACCCACAACACTTGTTCCTGGAAGAAAAGTGCTGTTTGCATACGCTACTATTGGTGGAAGTGCTTGAGTAGCGCGCCTCACCTAGTGCTTGGGAGAAATAATTCATCCAGGGATTCCTAGAACACACATTTCTTGACCAAGCCTTCCTTTAATTACAATTCTTGCATTACCCACCTCATTTATGTACTGCCCACCAAAGGCTTGTTGTCCCACTTCTTACACGCTTACATTTTTCGCTCGCATATTCGTTCCTGCGAGATTCAGTTCTTTTTTCAACTTATTAGTGTTGACTAGATGTATGACTTCCCTTACGGCTACTCTTTGACCGATGTAGAATGTCCATCAACTGGGACGCTCACCGAACTTGCTGTTTTCTTATCTCCGTATCCTAGCTACAAACCACGATGGAGGAGAATACCTGCCCACCTGTCGATCTGATTGGGTCTTGGGAAGATGCTCGTGCATCTAATATTCCCACAACTTCTGGGCCCGTTGACTTATTGGGTCTCGGCTCTTCACCCGGTCCTACCTCCTGGCCAACCAATAACATCTCCAATGTGACTGATGCCTCTTGGCCTTCTAGTTCTTCTGGTCAAGCACCACGCCATACTGACCACGTGGCCAACAGGTATATCCAATTTTGGCTCGCTTTTTGCTGCAATATCAGGAAATCACTTGTTTGTTTACATCACCTTTCTCGAATTTATCGGGTGCCGCAAATCTTTGGTTCCCCTGATTGTCTAAGAAGTACCCAAGGAACCAGCATAATAAAGCTTACCTTAAGATTACGCTATCCATAAGCCTAGAGTTGTGTCTGTACTTTTGAACGTATGTTTCTCTGAGAGCGCCTGGCTGTCAAACATTTTCTCATTACCTCTCTTATCCCTTTTTTCTAGAGAACTATGGAGCTCGAGATGGATGAGTGGTTAAAACTCGAATTTACTGACCGGAAGGTCCGTGGTTCGAACCCAGCCACTGCATCTCGACGGCTTTAGTCTAGGCTTAGGCAACCTGACAGTATCTCAACCCTCGCGCTTCCTTCGGGTGGTATGGCTGCCAGGCACAAGTAGGGTGTTACAGCTGGGCGGTTGTATTATTATTATTTATTAAAGAATGATGACCAACCATCGGAATTTCACTGCTGAAACAGTTGGCTTGTATCTTGTAGCTAACGGTTCTGCTGCATCACTAATGAATAATTCGTTATGTTCTTCATTAAGCCCTTAAAATACGCGCTCACTGACGTCGTTCGATGCATTGCCTTACTGGCGGACGCCCGTCTATCTTCCCTACTCCGCGTACCTATCGAGCCGGTGTTATTGCTGATGCACCATCCCTCTGGCAAGACCACTTTTCGGTATTCCTTGATAGTTGTATAAAATCCTAGAACTTCTTAAAGACCGCTTCAGAACTAGTTGTAAAGCGAAGATTTATCAAAGATCCTTTCGGAAGCGACCAGCAACTCATCAGCCTCATTTGTCTAACATGCATCTGAGTGCTGAAGTTTACGTATTCCAAAAACCATCCACAAGGAGTGCAAGGCACGCTACTGCTTCTCGTGCATTTTCTGCGGTAATTTATCCGATGTGCAGTCACATGTAGGTTTTCTGACTCCAAGCGCGGTCGATTCAACTGGTTCCGGCCCCCCATATCATCCAGGACGACTAATTAGTTCACCACACTTGGCATTGATCGGTTCAAAAGCTGTCACTACGTTCAGATTAATATGATTGGCTTGAGTGTATCAACTGCTTTTTGTAGACACTTGCCTACCACAAACAACGGAAGGTGGTGCGTACGTTGGCCAACGACAAGACGCTTAGGCTCTTTTGTCACCACAGAACATCATTTTGATGCAAACCATCAAATGAGATAGCTCAAGAAGGCAAGGTGGTTGAGGTGCCAGCTTATGGACAAGAAGGTCCGTGGTTTGAACGCAACCTCAGCATCTGGACTGCTCCTGCCTAGACTTGGACAACCTAGCAGTATTGCCTCATCAATGTTTAGGCGTGTAAGGGCCCTGTGCGCAGAAGAAGCTGATCGGACAGCGGCCCAAACTGAGGTAAAGAGCAAACTTTGGGTTAGTGGATATCCAGCCAGCTTGATTAGGCGTCAGTTGCGAAGGGTGTTGGTACCGGTAGCGAAACCCAACAGGGAATGGATCGGGGCAGCTGTTATTCCATATAAACCAGGGACATCGGAGGTAATTCGAAGAATTCTAAACACGGCTAGTATAAGAGTAGCTTTCCAGAGGGGGAACACTCTGCGCTCTGCCCTGGTACAATTGAAGGATCGCCTCCCGGCAAACAGAACCAGGGACTATATCTACAAAATTAAGTGTAATGACTGCACCAAGGTCTATATAGTACAGACGGCCAGGGAACTACACATCAGAGTCGGAGAGCATAGTAAAAAAATAAACAGGCCGCCAAGAAACGCAGATGATTATCAAGCGTTACTGAAAGACTCTGCGATTGCGGAACACGCACTCGACACGGGACACAAAATAAATTTAGAAAATGTTGAGGTTTTGAGGCGAGGACTACGGTCCACGTCACAGAGACTGATCGCCGAGGCGGTAGAAATCGCCAAGCATCCCAGCGTTAACAGAATGGAAGGCGTGGAACTGGCTAGCGTGTGGAGAACGGTCTTGGGTCGCTCGAGCTGACACGGTGGTGTGCGGTCATCAGAAGTAAGAGTGGCCATCATCTGAAGTCCACTTGACATCAACCCCCCTCAAACTAAATTGTCGGAACACTCACAACCCCACACTGATCAGGGAAAATCTAACAGCGGCACCTGAGGTAAATCATCAAGTGAAGCACCCTGAGTTGTAAGATTAAGGAACGAAAAGCGGTCGGAACTAATTTGGAACCCCTCCAACCCATCAATTCAAGATTTTGGCACCCACACTAACCGACAAGAGCCGTTAATTGACACTCAACACTGATCTAGTTTGAAGAGGATTTACTGATTGGTTCCCCGTCTGTCTTATAACCTGGCCAATTTGGTGACCTGTTCACTTGGCCTGATGAAGCTTTTGTGTCAAAAGCGAAACGTTGCCCAAATAAAAACTACCGATTGTTTACCAAGCTCTTCTGAAACCTAGCAGTATCCCTGTCCTCGTGCCTCCTTCCGTTTGCATCGTAGTTAGGCGTTGAAAGGGTGCTACGGCTGATCGATTTGGTTTTTTGATTAAACGAATCTCCAAACAATGAAAATATCTTATAGCGAGTAACCCGTCAATTTACGTGACTGATAGACTGGGCTCGAGGTGACTCAGCGGTTAGGGTGTGAAGCGGCCGTCCAGGAAGTCAGTCATTCAAATCAGCTCCTAGTTTTTGCTTGCTTCTGCGTAGATTTAGGTAAGGGACGCGAAGATACCGGACCCTATCGTGCTGCGACGGTTTGCATAGCTAAGTAACCCATTGAGCTATACTACAGGATGCCCATTCAATCTCTACTGGCTCTTTTCTGTCAGGTTGGTTAATTGATTGAAACGATTTCCTGGTTCATCAAGTTGGGGTTTAAACAAGTGTGGCACTTGGTTCTTTAAAATCTGAGCGCATACCATTTCACCGCTGCTTTGCGGTTAGGCTTTCAAGCAAAAAGCATTGGTCGGGGATCCTCATCCATATTTGGTCGCTCATCCCGCATACGACCGTGAAGTTTGCAGGTACAATATATCTTCATATCACGTCGGCCGTCGCATCGTGGCATCAACCAGGTTACCTTGTTCGCTGCACAGAGCAGAGCCGATAAGCGAAAACATGCAGCTTGTAACCTTTAACGTTTTTCTTTATTCTGGTCTCTTGGCCTCTTGTGCTTGATAATCACCCCCAACTTAGATCACTGCGGAGGCATGTCACTCGGGTGCCTAGGGACTTGATACATCGCACGCCATCCATATGTACAGCTTCGTGTCCACTAATCTGGCCACGTTTTAACCATGTAGTCGGCCACCAACTGCTATTGCACATACTGTACACACTATCAGGTGACATCTTTTGTATCACCGGAACTGGAATACAAGATCAAATTTGTTGTGATTACGGTGCCGTCTCTATCCGTGAGCTATCGACTGAACTCCCGGTGATCCCAGCGCTGTTGCCGGGGATTGCGCCGGTGTTAGTACAGCTCTCAGCGCACGAGTTGAGGTTGCATTACTCAACTGGATACTTGTAAACAGCCGATTCTGTGCTGTCTGACAATCCACTCAGATGGAAGCTCACGTGTTGAGGTAGAGAACGCACTTAGTTGTATCCAACTACGCACCAGCGAATTGTAAGTCGGATTCATTAGAAGACACCTCCAATCGAAAACTGACCATCCTCTTGTCCACTCCGAAGAACACGGCCCAATCACAATAGAGGAACGGAACTATCGAATTAAGGCCGCCCAACGAAACAACCAGATACAAGGAAACGAAATTCCAGCTGACCGACCAGATTACGTGAAAACCATCTCAGGACCAACCGCTCATCTTAGATAATGTTTGGAAACTGCATAAGCACAGGTGGAAGAGGAGGAATTTACCCACTCAACCCCGCGCTGATGATGTCGCCTCGACTGGTGATGAGATAGATGTTTGAAATTAAACTGTCAAGCTTGGTGAACAGAACAACAACCAAGGAGTGAATCCGAGCTACCTATATTCCGTAATGTTGCCAACTTACATCAGCATTGAAAGTACTACTGTGCCTTCCTGCCTTGAGACACCATTGGAATGCTGGTCAGACGAGCTTTTCTGAGCGTTATCCAAAGAGGAAGGGAAATCTTTGAGTTGTATTGTGACTAGGTTGTCTCTACGTATTTGGAAGCAAGAACGTGTAGCAAAGAATTGGGTCCACTTCTTAAAAAATATCCGAACCGACTGTTCCAGCCACAGGGGTTCATCCCACATCTGTCGTAACACGGCTATCGGCTTACCCCATACGACGACACCTATCTTCGGCACGTGAGGTGTTAATTCGGAGTATCAGCTTGGATTTAGGCCTAACAATGGGTACATTGACCATGTCCTTAAATTGTTAAATGCCGCTGACCAGAAATCTCGGTTTTCTTAGAATTCCACTCTGTTCTTGACCAGATTGGGATGCCTGTGAAGTTCATATACACTGCTCATGCCTTGTGTTCTGGTGTACAGCGGATTAGCCAGAAGCTTCTTCACAACGAGTGGAGTTCTAGGTTATTCTTTCCGCTTTTTTGTTCAGTTCTGTCATAGACGTTCTCATGAAGTGTTCACTCCAAGATACCTTGAATATAGGTATCGAAATCATGTTTGGAGAGAGACTGATGGATTCCGATTCTGCTTACGACATCAGTTTTTCATTCGGTGGTCGTTTGTCTGGAGGTTATCCCATATTTCGGCACGCATTTTTCAGCTTCCGTGAGTAAAGCCCTATTTCAGGATTTCCCACTTTGTACCTCTCTGAACCTTGGGAATAATGGACTTAGTTTTGTTTATCGATTCATGTATCTTGACAGTTACATAAACCGTGATAGTGCTCCAAGAGATGCCAACAAATAGATTATCGGGGCACAGACAAAGTTCGCCCGCTACGACATCAGAATCGAGTTTCTTTGGAACTTATTGGCCGTGTATACAAGACAAGAGCCCTCCTATCC